TATATATATGTAAACAGCCAGTATATTTCCACACAGTATTATAATAGGAAATATATACTGTTCATATTTGGGGGTCCCATAAGTTTCTTCTAAAGCTGCTCGTAGCACCCTTCCAGTCCCACCAAATGCACAGAAGAACCTTCTTCGGATGAAGCCCAAGCTTCGCAACAGTTGAAGGTCTATTTTCTTTAGACCAAGTGCGTTTTCGATGCACATTTTGATACAAAATCCAGATCTCGTATCCAGTGACAAGACTCTTTAAGAAAGGATTTCTTTCGTGTCGCTGAAGAAGCAAATCGCACGTAGAGACGCGGTTCATAAGGCCGGTCTCCGTCAATAGGTGTGGAACTCAAACTTCACATCAATTCGCATATCCAATTTTGATTAAATGCTTATGTACCGTTGTCTTGGGAATGTTAGTGGCATCCACTACCTCACGCACACTATATCGCGGATTTTCAGCGAGCACAGTCTTGATAATGTCCGTATCTGTCGTTGCTGGGCGGCCGCTGCGGTCTTCATCTTTCAACTCAAAATTGCTAACTCTAAATTTCTTAAACCAATTGCGGACGGTCCTAATAGTCGTAGCACCACTCCCGTAAACGGTGCAAATCTCGTCTGCAGTGTCCTTTGCAGTATAGTCTTCTTTAAATCAATGGAGCATAACATGCCGCAAATGCTTCTTTTAGCTCTCCATATTGAACGGTGTAGAAAAAATTTTAAAAGATACTTTGTCACCAACGAAACGTACTTTGAAAGGGCTCTGGGACGACTGAAACCGATGCCATAAACGACTAAGAGATAAGCCTGCATGTTTATATAAACATAGCCAATTAGAGTCGCTCATAGCGTGGCGCGGAAGAAACTTATGGGACAACCTAATATATACATTATTTTGTATGTAACAAACTCACTTTTAGTCCCATCAAACGGCCAATTAGCATTCCTTCGTGAGCAAGGGCTGAGAACGCGGAATGGCCATGTACTATTTCGATCTCTTCTCTCAAGAAGATATATCTGATAAGAGGGAGGGAGCAGATCATCGTTGGAAGAACACATTGGTTGTAGAATACCTGTACTGGTATATAATATACCTTAAAAACAGAAACAATTTATACTTATGACTATGAAATTGACAAGTATTCTTTGTAATACATATTATACATACTTTTAGGCCATTCGTCATGTAACGTACTCCGACTCTGTCACCATAGGAGTGAGTTAGAATGACGACCTTGTGCCCATGCCCGAGTAAACACTGAGACAAGTTGAAGATATGCTCTTCTACGCCACCCATGTTAGGATAAAAAAAATCAGACACCATACTACAAATTTGAATACGAGTATATATAAGTATATTTTCTTCACTATGTTTTACATTAAATATCGAGTGTGATACAAACCAAATTTTATGTTTTACGGGTTTCATTGTAACGCCTATGTTTCAGCATGACTCACGACACAAGATTATCAGTGATAATCATTTAAAAGGCATTTGAAAATTCGTTGATCATCGATTGAGATATGAAATAATAATCGGCGACGCATGTTGCATGTGTGCTTCTCAATTTCATTTTAAATCGACGAACACCATGACGATCTTAAATAATTCATTATTCTAATAGTTATTCGAATGAGTTGACAAATTTTAATTCATCTCGCACTTGTACAAAATTAGACTAGGTTATAAATGCTATTATGATACAAATTCTTATTTATTTATATCTACTCATGATAGAACGGAACCGTTCTGATTTGTAAACATTTAAACATCGATAAATTCACTAATAATATTTTTAAAAAATACATGATTGTACAGTATGATTATAAATTATCATTATTAATAATGAAGTGAAACGAGGGTGCGCTTAAATCGAAACGAATCGATTGTAATCGATTCTCTAGAATCGAATTCGAATGGAACCTTCCGTTATTGGGTCTGTCCAGTATGGAAAAATAAATAAATAAGTAAGGTTTAAATAAATAAATAAATAAATAAAAAAGTTCTTAGTTTTCAATTCTCAGTACTCAGTTCTCAGTTCTCAATCTCGGCCATTGGTCAGCGCAGCCGTACACGTGCTCTTATTGGTCATTTTGTTTTTCGTTAATAATTCAAAAGCCATGGCTCACTTTGCATTTTGGTAAAGGAAATTGTTGTTCAGAAACACTTACAGAATCACGTCTCTTCGGCTCTAACACTTTTTCTGGGACATCCTGTATATGTATCAATTATAATTGATGAAAATCGAGGATACATTTTTAACGTTTTATTTCTTTGTTGAATAAGATAAGAGAAACGACTATAAATTTCAGCCTAAAGCATAGTCGAAGACAAAAACAGCTGATAGTTTGTAACTACTAACTTAGGTTTTCTTCAATAAAAATACAAAAAAAAACCCAAGCGAACTAGACGGTATTTATATTTATAATTGTAAGTTACACTGCTGCGGATATGAATGTCAGGCGCGTAAGTTTTATTAATTAAAATACAAGATCTTTTTACTGAATAGCTTTAGCAC